CATCCACCAACTACCCCTCTAATTAGACGTACAACATCTTCTTCTGGTAGGGTATAATCCCAGCATGTAAACTCATTGATTGACTATTGTATTGTTTATATGTGAACAACTGTAAAATGATTTATTTTTTTAAAACAGGGCAAACCACAAGTGCTGCAGTACCAAGAACTACATTACGACCACCGACAACCACTTATCCAACGACAAATCGTTCGACTCCTCATGTGACTACCCCTATAATTAGACGTACAACATATTCTGCAGGTATGGTGCATATCTTTTTGCGCGAAAGATGAATTGATTATGTCAATTAACTATATTAAACTATAGCAATATATATATATATATATATATATATATATATATATATAAACAACATTCATTATTATTATTATTATTATTATTATTATTATTATTATATATTTATCATTTTGCTTTGTAGGTGAAACTGTTGTTGTCACATTTTCAATTACAAATGTTAACGGTTCAGAAGCAGTTTTAACCGCCGAACTGCTAGACCCAGGTTCAGACGAATTTAAGAGTTTAGAGCAAGCAATTTGCAAGTCGGTAAGTAGCGATACATAACTTATTCATCATCTAATGGGAAGACAGCATTTTTTGATAATGGTAGTAAAACGAAATTATCGTTATTTGATTTTTACTTTTATAGCTGATTGATCTATATGGAAGCGATGAAGTGGCAGGTTGTTCAGTGTTGAGCTTCAGCGCAGGTAGCATCGTTGCTAATGCGCAACTCGAGCAGAGACTTGGGAGTACGACATCTGGTGAGCAATTGCAAACGGATCTTGTGACTGCAGTTGACAATGCCGGAGGAATGTTACCTGGAAGTGCACTGAGTGTTGATTCGTCATCGGTTTCTGTTCAAGGTACATGTTGCCTTTTTCTTTTAAAATATTTTGAATTCACATTTTGTTAAAACTTTACTTCTTTAACATGTAATTATTTGATGATAATTATACCTTACTTCTGCAGGAATTGTTATATTCTGTCCATCAAATATCATTAAAACTTCCGGGACTAATTTGAATTACGCAATTGTGGAATGGATGTACCCACTTGTCTATGGAGGGAGTGGAACAGTAACTACAGAAGCATCTCATGAATCTGGATCATCTTTTCTAATCGGTGTTCAGAAAGTCAATTACACGGCAACGGATAATATAAGGCAACGTGCTGTGTGTTCTTTTGAAGTGACAGTTCTTGGTAAGAGTGTGTGATACTAGATCCACTTTATTAATGCTATAGTTTTATATTAGTATAGAGTACTACATTTTTACGTCACGATACCACGTGATACTACTCCGTTGCTATCGGCGACATAAAATTAATTCAAGCGATGCCTATTCCAGAAAGCCTTTCTAAACAATTAAAATTATAAAGTCATTCAGGCGTAATGAACGGTAACCTTCGTTCATGGTGTGGTACCTGGTGTTGTGACGACACGACTGCGGTACTCTATAATGGTCTTCATGGAGCACAATTATGCACTGTGATGTATGTATTTCAGCTAATCAAAAATGTATGGATGGCACATATAAATGCCCAGAAATGGCACTGTCAGACAAATTTGAATAGAATTTACTTTTTCCACATTTTATTATTAATCTTCAAAATGGTTGTATAACTTTGTGTTTTGATAGTATAAAGTTTGAATACATTTACGCTGGTTTTATAATAATAAATAAATTTTGTTTTTATTGATATCATTTGTTTAAAAATGTAGACAAAGAGTCACCGAGGATTACATGTCCTGCCGATATAGCAAAGATGTTACAAGTAGGTAACGACAGCATTGTTGTTAACTGGGACGCAGCGAAAGCCAGTGACAATTCTGGGAGTGTGACTGTAACACCTTTTACGAGTAACACGCATGCGCCAGGGGACTCGTTTGAGGAAGGTTCTTACGCTATCATGTACGTGGCAACTGATGATGTTGGACTAACTGCTGTTTGCACATTTAACATTCTTATTAGTGGTAAGTATTAACAACAGCTAAAAATGAAAATGTTTTTGGTATTTGATATTTGATTCGGCACAATTGTGATGTTTATCAATATTGCAATATTTCCACTAGCATATAGAATATGCACATGAAATGCGCGCGAGGTTTTTACTAGTTCGTACCATGCATGTTTTCCCATAGATTAGGTTATATATTTTGTCTTGTGTACTTGGGCAAGACACATTATTTGCGTCTGGTGTTGTTTGCCCAGGAGTATAGATGAGTACTGGAATATGCTGGGAAGTTAAACAGATAAGCTGGAACTAGCGATTCCATCAAAGCATTGAACAGCCTGGCTCCAACGCTTAGTAAAGTAGGATAAGCACCCCGAACTTGTACTGGTTCCACTACATTTATCTTCATCTTTACTAAAAAAGCTGCAATGTGTACAAAACGTTTCTGCAAGACCTCTGATGTGAGGTTGATCGTGCAAAACGTCAACCTAGCATAATTTGTTTACTTCATAACCTCCACTGGCTTTTTATTCAAAATCACACACCGGTACTTCTGATAACCTTCAGCACTCCATAGTATCACATACTTTTACATCTCCTGAAAAAATCATCCTTCACAAAAATTCATCAATAATATTGTTTAAATTTGAGTAAACGTATATGTATCTATATTTATTATTATTTATCAACTGGGTCAATTGTTCTCAACAGGAGCTGTTTGTGACTCTAGCTACTTTGAATGTCAGCCATTGTGTTTGTCGAGAGATCGTTTATGTGATGAATATCCTGATTGTGCTGATGCTGTCGACGAATCGGAAGAAATATGTGGTAATTCTTGCGCTTGCGATTAAAAACAGCTAATATAAACCAATTAATTTGTCTACAAGCGACCAATATATTTTCCATGAGGACAAATTAATTTGATTCTCATTCTGATAATTAAATTAAATCAAACATTGCAGTACCGGTTGGGTAAACAAATATGCTAACCATTCTAAGTGCATTTTCAAAGGTTGAAACATTTTTAAGTGTTATTTAAGCTTACTTTTATCTTTCTATAATGTGTTTTAGGTTCCTGTGCATCAGATGAATTTCGATGTCCAAATAGCTCTAGGTGTATCCCAGAGTGCTTTGTGTGTGATAGTTATCCTTATGATTGTCTTGATAATGCCGACGAAGACCCAACGTTATGTGCAGGTATATAAAAT